TAATAAGTCCGTTTTTTTGCTCTACAGGTTGCACGTTCAGAAACGAGTAGCCCAGGTAAGTTTATTTGAAATCGCAGAAGTCAGTTTTTACATTTTGTATTGAAAGTTTTTAGAACAACTTATGGATTTGACACTCGTAATTTGTAAGTTGAATACAAACGATTGTCATTTCGGTCGTTTCTCGTACCTTTATGTAATTTGGAAAGAAAACATGGTGAGATTGTACTTTACCGGACCACCGGTCGGAACTACTTTCGCTATGGCGCCCCTGGTGCCTAGTGGCCCGCTATTCTTCGTTTCCGAGCTCCCCTACTCAGTCTCCTGCTCAGTTTTCTACGTCCTCACCCTTCGACTTCCAACAATCGGCTGACATCTCTTACCGGGTTTTTCAATCATCATGACCGTGCCCTTTGACTAGAGCTGGGCAATGAGTCGCTTTAGCAAAATCCGGATAATATTATGTTAGTGCACCTCTTCGGCAAATAATATGATAGAACCGCTTCTGCAAATGGGTTAGAACCATTTCGACAAACGGGATAGCATCACTTCAACAAATGGGTGCACACACTTCGGAAAGGCAGGTCAGGAAAGTGAGTTAAGAGTCTGAATTCAGACAATGTTTCATTGCTAATTTTCCAGTTATTCGGATAGATTATCCGGATTTTGCCCACCTCTACCTTTGACCCACGACCCTGACACCTTGAGGCTAATTGGTCAATCTAATCACGTGGTCCACTATTCTTATTTGCTCGCGACTGCTGGCTTGGCCTACTCCTGGTCCGGCAAAGTACAATGGAGGGCTAGAGATGCGCACGAGAGCTCACTTGCATAATTGCAACCCCCTCAGCCCTGCTCGTGACTTGGCGAGTATCTCTACCCCGATTGTCCGCTCATGTTATTGTTTATATGTGTGTGTGTGTCTTTAACTTTAAATTATTGTTGCCAGAGGGGGCTCCTGAACCCCTCCCCCCACTGTTGTTACATTGATGTAAACACGACTGTCCGCTCATGTTAGTGTTTCGCACTTGTGTGTTTTCTTTAAACTTGAATATTTCCAAGGGGGCAAGCCCCCCTGAACCCCTCCCCACTGTTGGTATGATGCACGGTGGTTCTCCAAAGTTAAATCCCCTGCCCCCTGCCCACCCTCAACCACCACCTCTCGCTCGCCTCGCCTCGCCAGTCGCCGCAGGCTTGTGCTGTGCGTGCGCGAAGTCGCCTGCGGAACTACCCTTTGTCCGCACGTAGAGTACTATGAGTGCGTAGTTAGGCTAGGTGTGCGTAGTAATCACAGGCCGAGACGGGTGGTCCGGTAAAGTACAATCCAGCCAAAAACATGATCGGAGGGTGTTGCCGTTGGTGTTCTTACTCATGGGCACGTTTTCTATTACATACATACATTGCCTTTCTCACCCTGCATCAGGTTATAGACCACGAACAAACACTTTCCAACTTTCCCTATCCTAGGCTAGTCGCTTGATGTCACTCCATGTCCCTTTCGGCTTTGTTCACTGTCGTTCACTGTTCCTGCTGATGCAGAAGCTCCTCTGTCTCCCAAGGTGGAAAAAGTATACAAATTTAACGAAGTGACTATTTCTCCAAACGTTCGGGGAAATAGTGCCGATCTTTATTTCTCCGAACGGTTTCCGGCTCCATCATCATGCGCATGTACACACACTAACTAAACATGATCCGTGGGCAACTTTTGAACGAATGACGAGCTGAGCTGTGGATGGAGAGACAGTGAGTGAAAGAGCGGGTGAAAGGAAGAATGCATGAGTGTATCCACAGGCGACAGCACGACTACAATTACTCTCAGAAAGAAACTTTTTTCGCAAATTTGTCTAGATCTAGAGAAATTATCAATGCGAAGATTCTTCAGCACGTGAACGCAACATAAGGGCCGCAATGAAAGAAATATATGCTGATACGGGCGTGCCCACTACGGATGGGATCGGCCGATCGCGCTGATCACCCGACTCGGTCGCCTAAAAAACAAACATGTTTGTTTTCAGTTTCAGGCGATCGGCCCGATCCAGCCGTAGGTAAAATCAAGAATTATTTTAAGTGGTGTTCCGAGGTTGTGACAGGCAACATTCAGACATGAAAATTGAGAAAAAATTTGTGTATACGCTGCGCAACTGTATTTTGAAGGTACATCTATTCATTATTCCCAATGGTGCGGCGACAAATTGAATTATAGTAACAGTGGAAGGGGAACCTCCTTTTAAACATTGCCAGCAATGGAAAGATATGTTGGTGAAGAAATAAAACAAAACAAAATGTTGGTGAAGAAATAAATGTTTTGGGCTGTAGGCAATATCTTCAAACAGGCTCCAAAATGCCATTTTCAACCCTCTAAAAGCTCTAAATTTCAGTTTCTTCAGGGGCTTCGCCCTCTGAACCCCCACCAGGACGCTGTCCCTGGATCCTGCTGGGGGCCTCTGCTGTCCCCAGACCCCCGGCAGAATTTTCCTTACTTTTCAGCTTCAGCTGGTGGAACCACTGGGGGTGGGGTGTGAAAGTCATGCGAACGAGGATAAGCCATGGAGAGAACATGGGAATTGAATGAATGAGTGAAACTGAAAGAGAGGAATGACTCATGAGCCCTGGAGTGAATGGATCCTGTGTTTCTAATTTTGTGTACTTTGAACTGTTACTGAATAAAGGCTGAAATAAAGCCCGAAAAACAAACACACACTCCTCACTCTCCACTTACACACTTTGTACCACACACAGACACACTCACAAACACACACATGCATACACACAGTGACACACACACACACACAGGAGCAAATTTTTGGGTGTATATTTCAATTTTCAAGAGCTAGTCTAGAGATTTTTAGATGAGTGTAAAAACGTGAACCCCCGCGAAACTAAAATTCCACTGCCGGTGCACTGTGTTCCGCACGCTGCGAAATTTTGGTCCCCATTTGCCGGTGAATTTTTGGACCGGGTCGGAACGTGACTAGCTTTCTCAAACTCTTTCTGCTCTATTTCTGGACCAATGTGAATTTAACTTGACAACCAATCAGAAAATAGGGCAAACTGAAATGTCGACGTTGAAGTTTGCACACATAAATTAACTACTTTTGGTGTCGGAAACACTTTCCTATCGGGTATACCGAAAACTATAAGGAACTTGATTTTCAACATCACGAAAGTAATAGATTTGTCTTTCCTCTCTCTCTAGTGTCCTCAAGTTTGAATGTTCTATGTCAAGTAGTTGTTTAGAATTCATCATAAATGTACCACTACCCCCCCTGTCCAAAGCGGCTTCGCTCGGAGACCGGCAGTTTTCCCCTCTCTCCTTTAGCAAATGTACATGACGTACAAATCCCTACATGATTATTCCAAGCCCGTTCTTTGGTCTCTTGAAATAGGGCAATGGCTGGCACATGCGTCCGATTGTTTTTCTCTGTAACATTGCAACGGGGGTGTTCCGAGGCAAGGTCGCCTCGGGCTGACCTTTACTACCCCATAACTTTTTAAAATTTATGAACCGATTCTTAAAATTCAAGAAGCATAATATAATCATTAGAATTGAAAACTCTTTCTTAGGTACCAAATTAAAATGGGCTAAAGCAAAAAATCAAATTTTCATTGGCATTGCTACTTTTCCCTTACTTTCCCAACAAACTGCACTCACAATAAAAATGAGTATGAAGACAATATATTTTTATTCCAACTGAGTCTACGACGGAGTATGTAGGTCTTAAAGTTGTCCTTTCTGTAACTCATCGGGAACTACGTTGGTAATTATTTTTTTCTGTGTCGGTTGAAAGTGCACACTCTCAGTAGGCAACCTAGATTACTAAAGCCATTTTCTGTTTTTAACCCTTTCGCATTTAGCAGGCTTGGTCTGCTGTGGCCCCCCATCCTTAAGACAAGGGCAATAACTCCACGAAAATTGAAGGGATACCTTACTTTAAAAATTGTATAAAATCACAAACACAACCAAAAAGGATGAAAGTAGTATTTTCTGAAAGGAAAATGAATGAGCTAAATTACTAATACAAAATTATAAGTGGAATAGAGGAGTATGAAATGATATGAGAGATCTTTCTGAGATGCGTGTCTTGGATTCCGAGTCTAGATCTAGATATCTAGACTAGATCTCGTATAAATTTCTTCAACTCACGAAGTTTCTGCCACTGACAAAGAGGTAATCCACACAAAAGAAATACAACACATTCACAGAGATTGAAGCCTCTGGTGGAAACTTGAAAGCACCTAAAAGACTTTTCTTTGGGTGTTTTTATTTTGTTTCTGCCGTACTCATATCGGGCAGCTTTGCGCCCATGCATCCTAGAGACATGATGGCGTGTTTACAACTAAAATAGTCCTCCGACTTTTGTTCCCGCTCAAAAAGTGACTCTTTGTGCTAGCGAAACGAGAAAAACACCATAGTAAACCGGAACTCTTCCTCTATAAAGATAGCTAAGTGAGACTTCTGAGATAGTAAAAGTAGAAGCCTCCTGGGGCAACGAATCAAACACCCCCGTGGCGGGCGCTATAGGGATGAGCGGGGGTCACCGGCGCGGGCACATACAGGCGCTGTAAGTGCAAAACGGTTAAAAAGCCCTTGACTACTGCATAGTTCGAAAATAGTGGGGCCTTGAATACATTTTAGTGTGTTTCCTTTTTTTGTCTTTGAATTAGGCTTTTTTTTTTCGAAGTGACTATTTCTCCAAATGTTTGGGAAAATAAAGTTGAACTTTATTTCTGGGAACGGTTCCCGTTCTCGAGATTTCCCCCCCCCCCCCCTCCGTTATTTCAAGCAAGATTTAGGCGTCATCCTTTCATTTTGCCATTCTGCGAGGAGTGGGAAGAGGCATTTTTTTTCATCGAATTCAATTTCTAGAGCTAGAGATTTTTAAATGTCTGAATATTTAGATACTTCAGTTGTGGTTGGGCAACGTTCCCGGACTAGATCTATACTTCATTTGAAAATAAAAAGGTGCCGCGAGAAAACAAGACTGCTCGACCTTGGCAGTCACCTATTTTGCATTTAGTCTCCCAGCAAAATCTAAAATCCTTCAGGTAAAAAAAAAAATTCCCCCCCCCACCCGTTCACACCTTACACACACTCACACAGACACACACACACAAATACGCTGGCCCCTCCATTCGCTTATTATCAACTAATCTCGAGAACGGAAATCGTTCGAGAACGGAAATCGTTCGGAGAAATAGAGTTCAACTTTATTTTCCCAAATGTTCGGAGAAATAGAGCCGGCGTTTTAAAAATGAAATGTCCCATCCTTTAGGAAAGAAGCAAAATACCTTTCAAGCAGAAAAGTTTTCACATGTCGAACCATGCTTGATTTTTTTTTTCTTCTAAATTTGTTTCAGACACTGACAAAGATTTTGATCCGTCGGCTGATATGATGGTTCATGAATATGACGATGAACGAACATTAGATGAAGAGGAAGCTATGACAAGTGGTGAAAGTTGCACTGGGGAATTGGATGATTTACAAAAGGTAATTTTCTGTTGTTTCATCTGGTGGGTATCCTCTTGTTCTATTTTTAGTCATTTGCAGACAGAAACTAGTCTGTTTTTTATTGTACAAATAAACTAAACTGTGTTGAGGACTTTTTGTAGCTAAATTCTGTTTGAACCCTAACTCTGGCAAGGGCCGATTAGATCGGCCCATTTCCTGCCTTGAAACTGGCAGGGCCGGTCTCATAGGACCATATAGTTAACTGCTGCTTCTGCCTTCCAACTAAATATTTGGGCCTTCCTAAAGTGATTTCTGATTGGCTAAAAGGCTAACCTCCAACCAATCAGAATATTTCTACCATTCTGACTTAGGAGAAGAGTATTTTGCTTTCAAAACAGAGGGATGTTTTGAAAGCTTGTTGATCAGGGCACAAGCCACTAATGCCAGTGTAGATCTATCACTTGCGCTACTCATGTGGGTCTAAAATGGCCAAAAATCGATCTTTTTTGGATACATTTGAAAGTGAATTGACAAGGGAAAGTAATTCAGACATTGTTAATGGTGGATTTATTAGTGTTCAGTCAAGAATTGGGATTAGATCTGACAGACAATGGGGATACCAGTTCTCATCCTGCCCCAACTTCTCTTTCAAATGGGACACTAGATTCTACTACCTTTGGGAGTCTAATAGGGGCAGAAAAAGGAGAGCTATAGAGTAAAGTAGGTTCCTTTTGCTTTTCTAATTATTACAGACTACCAGCAGATTGCTGAAAACCACATGGTTGTACTTAGAGTGTTTTGTTGAGTATGGTATGAAAGTAGCGAGTATCAGCAGCGTTCGAAACAGACCACATGACAAATTGAAACAGTCATAACTCATTACCTGTTCTTCTCAAATCTATAAAACTATACATTTTCTGAAAGGTTATTGGAAAACCCATATTTCTGCTATCTCACATTTTTTATAACATAAAATACATTAGATTGGTGAATATGCTAATGAGCATGTAAATTTTTTATGTCAGCCATCTTGGATTTCAAAGCTACATAACCCCTTGTAAATTAAATCAAATCATATGTTCAAAGGCAAAATTTTTAAGTTCATTCAATTATCTTTCAGAAAATATATACTTTTGTAGGGTTATTATTTGATACAAGTCCATAAATTTGATTTGTAAAGCATGTGCACGTTTTGGCTGATTAGCCCTGCCACTCCTGTTGAAACCAATTGCCAGAGTTAGGGTTAACAAATCATTGTGTTAAGTTTCTATATATTGGTCTTTTCATTTATGTACTTGGTGTGTTGAGTTTTTTGGGGTTTTTTTTTGTCCTTTTGATGATAGCCATCAAGTCTTGGTGAACTCTAACAAAAATACTGATGGCAGATAATCTGAGGAGGACTCATAATTGTATCCAAATTTCATGACGTTGCTTTCCATGTAACACATGAATTATTAATGAGTTTTTACGAGAAATTATGCAATGGCTCAGCAAAAACTATAGGTGCCATGTCGTGGTGGATTTGGGCACTCGTCAATTTTTGGGCATATATGACAGACCTGCCACTCATCCAGATGTAATCTGGATATCCCAATTTTTTTACCCCAAATCTCAAGCATCCCGATTTTTTTGTTCCGTCTGTTACGACGGATTTTCCTAAAAACTTGCCCTGCCTTCTTCTCTGTCGTGGGAAGCCCTATTTCTATAAGCTATGAAAGATGTTAAGTCAAAAAACAAAAAGTTAAATAAAACAACCCAACGGGTGGAAAAGTGCATGTTCCTTCGATTTAATTATTTTGACGAGCGCTTATTTCACCGTTATGTTTTCACGATTTGTTTTTCTTTTTAGGAGAGCGAGATGCCTATTGAAGAGCTACTGGCCCAGTACTCCAGTGTGCCGGGAGCGTTGGAAGACATCGCTGACAACTCACGCTCAGCGTCGTCCTCCAGCAGTGAGGAAGAAATATTAGAAAACAAAGACCTGACCTTGGACAAAGAGGTCATATCACGGGACTTGCTGAACAACGCAGCAACTGCTGAAGATCGGGACATTAGCGTTAACGAACTCATACAGAATGTGTCTCGATCTCAGACGTTATCGCAGACGGAAAGATTGCTCAGATGTGAGTGTTTCTTTGTGTTTGGATGTGGTAAAGCCTTCAGGAAGCTACTTACTTCAGGCTTGAGCATATTATGTTGTGACTGTAGTGTATTGGATGATAGAGAACTTAAAGACTTGCTAACATAGGAAATGTCCTTTGTTTTCTAACATTGCAGCCTCTGAATTATTCAGCCAAATTTTTTTCTATTTTGTTACTCAGTTGGAAGTTTCATCTTAGGTCTTAACTTTTTGTGATATTTTTAGCTTATTAGATTGTCTCAGACTTTATTTTGTTCATGGCAGCTTATTCTCCATTGACTGGATCACATCAGTTGTGGATGTGCTGAAGAAGCCAGAGCTAAGATACTACCTAGATGTGAAAGTCTTGTTAGGGGAAGGTTACCGGGCAGGCATGTGTGAGATCATTCGGACCTCTCCAGAAGAGACGAAGTCATTTTTACTCGATTGTGCATCGGACACAAGGCCATGACCCACAAATACCTCCTACAGGGAGATGAGAAGCCGTTCTGTGTCGGATGCGACACAGATTTTACCGTTGAACACATCTTAATCGAATTTCTAGACTTAAGAGAGATCCGAAGGAAATATTATAAATGCAAGACATTTTTTCCGTCGTTGGTCCCCGCAGAATTTTAAATTTTATGAAGACCTTTGGCCTTTATGGCAAATTGTAAAGTGAAACAATACTGTTAAAAAATTTTATTATTTATAAGAGTTGTTTTAAATATATTTACACAGAATTTTTAATATTTTAGCATTTTGGTCTAATAGTTGATCAACCGTGCAGTGAACTGTTGCGAATGCAACCAACTTGTGTTTCGCACGCTCATACGACCTCATATGCGAGCGCCATAAAACCCTGTACGAAACAAACAAACACATGTGTTGTCTGTAGTACTATAGTACCCATAGCTGCCACTTTACTGCTAAATAGCGGAAACTCCGCTTCATCTAGCTTGTCCCGCTACTTCCTCCTTCCTCTGCTGGACCGCTCTCGGTCGCAAATTTCGATACTTTTTTTTTTTTAACCAGCGGAAAACACCGAACCGGGAGAGAGACGAAAACGCGGCTTGCGCATGTCCGCCCGTAGCTTTCTACTTCCGTTCTTCTGGGCCCAGCGCTAGTTTCACATTGTTTATTGTTGTGGAGCAACACTGTCGATAGGGCATCGAGACGCTCTACATCGATGTACAAGTTTAAAGTGAAAGAAATCTTTTTATGAGACACCAGCTGGCAAAAAACACTGGATTTTTAGTCACCAAGTCAAAACTGTGTCAAATTGACTCAAATGCTTGTTAGTCAACTTAATGCCTTTTTGGTTTTTTTAATTTTTTTTTTTTCTTCTTCAAATACATTTTAATTCAGTCGCCTATGGTTAACAATATGACAGTTTTACCTTCCAAAACCGTAGGCTAGATTTTCCAATATTGCCTCTGGACCTCACTGGTTTACTCCGGCCTTCTGAGAGAGTGCATACGCCTTCGCGAATTTCCTCCTTTTTAAAAATTCCTGAGTGGCAGCTATGAGTACCGTGTCTAGAATGCTAAACTTAATAATACTTTTTCAATGAAGCAGGTGCTCTTCCTTTACAGAAAACAAAAGTTTTTTTCTTTGACTTGTAGCTATGGTGCATCTCTGTCATTCATTTACTTTGCAGCCACCAGTCAACAGGAGAGTGATGAGTCCGAGTCATCTTCAGAAGATGAAAATTGCGAACCGGTGGAAGAACATAAAAAGGTTTGTTTAGTGCTTTGAAGCCTCTTGTTTGAAGTGTGTAATGAATATATATAGGTTAATGTTTTATTTGTAATAGAGTACGCTTGAGTGTTGGGGTCTGTGAAACAAGAGAGTTACATGTAGATAAATAATTGTCAAGTTACAATTTAGGTATTATGTTTTTGTTGTTTCTCTACCATGATAGCAGTATTTCTCATTGGTGATTTTGAGAATCATGATAATGACCAACACACTTCAGTCCCTACAATTTTGAAATTTCAAGACTTGCTTGTTTTTTGTTTTTGTAAATGTATTTTTGCTTACAGTTTTTTACTTTTTTTGTGTTCATTTGCAGACTATACAAGTTGGCTCGGACTTCCAAGCTGTTATTCCAGTCGGCCTATCTGCTTATGGGGATGCCCCTGCCTACGAGAATGAAGATAGGTTACTATGGGACCCCTCGAAAATTAAAGATGAAAATGGTGAGACTTGATACATCAGACCTGCCACTCTTCCCGATTTAACTCACTTCAGACAGGTCTCACAAGCCCTGCGTGACCAACTTTGGAATTTTTTTTTCGCTCTACAAATCAGGCACGGATCGCGAGACCCGCCTCGTACCCTTGTTTGGCCAAGTCTGAGCTACTTAGACTTCGTTTCGTATCTCTGGGGCCGGTAGTTTTTAAGTTATTGAAGGTGAAGGGCAGTGACCCCAACTGAGGTTGAACAGACCGGAACTCGCGCTTTGTTCTTTTCTATACAGCTGATAGTAATCCGATAGTCGCGTCGTAGTAAACGGTCGAAGAAGTCGCATGAACAAGAATCACATAATTTCGCCGTTTTCTATACTTCTGTGTGTTTTACTAGTTCTAGTGTCTCAGAATATGATGTGTTTAATTGTTAGGATCCTGGATATGTACCCGAACACGGCCCGAGTCGTAGTTCTAGGGCTAGATCTAGCACTAGTACCGGTGTTGTTTTTCGCGCAACGAAATCACAATGTCGTGCCGTACATCTGTCTCATGTAATTGTGTATGGGTCTGAATCAATGCACAGACCAGCTTTTATATTTTCACCAAACACTCGCACATGTATACAAATCAAACCAGAACACTTTGAACTTTAATTTTTGTTGTTGCAGTGAATTTCATTCTACTTGTCACGTCTCTGGAAATTTTTCGGAAAATAAAATTCATGCCAATTTTTAAAAAATCATACAAATTAAAGTATTAGACTTAGACAACTTTAGTTTTTTGTATTAGATTAAGCTTGAATGTTACTTTACACTGTCAATAAATGATTACAATAGGGTAATTCTGAGAGTTGTGGTGATTTATTGAAATACCCCCAAAAACGCCAGTCTTCAACGCTTGTGACTGGTGAAAGGGCCCAGTCACAAGTGAGTTAATCCGGATATCCTGGTTTTTTCCCCCCAAATCTGAAGCATTTCGATCGTGTGTTTCTTGATTTATTCATTCTATTGTCTATTGCGCTGGATTTTTCTGAAAACTTGCTCTGCCTTCTTCTGTCGCAGGAAGCACCTGTCAACAGGAACTCGGAGCACTGTTTTCTGAAATATCAATACCAGATTTAGTTGTTGACTCGCCTAAAGTTGTGTGGGGTCTTTGGTCGCATGTTTTAATTCAATTAAAATGGAGTCGATAATTATTCGGCATTCTGACTTGTTATCCGATATATATATTTATGGTAACCTCTGGAAAAATTTTTAGTCGGCTTGGCAGTCACCTCGGGGATTTGTTGTTGATCCCGATTTTTCCCCCTGAGATCCTGATTTTTAGATTTCACAGAGTGACAGGTCTGGATATATTCAAAAATGTTTTTGTGTTTAAATTCTCTAGAAATTCCTCTGTTAGTTCACAGTGGAATCCTAATTCTTCTTTAACATATGTTTTACATTAATGCTTTTATTTTTCTTATTTTCTTCACCCATAAAGAAAATACATGTAAAGTGAATTTCCCTGCTTAATAGTTGTTTGAAGGATATTACCTGTTTAGAAGTTTGTCTGTTTTAGATGTTACTTATCTGCTTCTTTGCTTTCAGTAATTTGGGGGGGGGGGGTTCTTTTCTCATCACAAATGATGATTATTATGTTGATGTGCTATTCTTTACCAAGACATGTGCATATAATTTATTCAATTATTTTAACACTGACCAGAAAAAGATTAAAAGGCCGGTCTTAATTAGGTCACCTCTCTTGTAGCTTGTCTTTATTACTTGAAAAACTAGTTGTTTTTTAACTAGCTTTAGTAATGATGATCATGCAGGTTGAAAAGTACTCATTTTTCTGCCAGGGCCCATTGTTTTGTTTTTTTTGAGTAGGGTTGTTTTGTTAGGGTTTTATTATTTAAAAAATTGTTTTCTTGTAGTTCTAATAAGCTGTATAACAGTTTCAATCGTTGGACTGTATGGTTCTGTTATCTTTCTATGTCAAATGTCTCTTGGAATGGGATGTTTGGAGTACTTAAGAGTATCATTAGCGGTCTGTGACACTTGCTTTACACAGAAAGTTTCTATTTTGTTATGCCTTGGTTTACTTTTTCCTCTAGGAATGTGGCTGATGTTATTGCTATTTTGGAAGCCACCGCCTGTTGTGAATGTTTTTATCTATGCTAATTTGTAATATTTCTTCCCCCCCCATTTTCTACAGCTCTTAACGACTACCTGTGTAATGTCCAGAAAGAAATGGAGAGGAAGCTTCATCCTGTGGCCAGTATCCCGCGGGGGAAACACATCCGTGATGATGAGCAGGTGGGCACTTGATGATTTCCTTGTCTCTTTAGCTACTGCTCATGTGTGCGTTCGGCAAATAGCAGCCTCTGATTCCAGATTAAAGAGTTCCATGGCAAGAGAATGGGTGGTTGGAAGGTGTTGTGTGGTTTGCTCCTTTTTTTTAATCAAACATCTATGACCTTATCTCGTCTCCCGGGTGCAACAAAAAAGTTTGTCAATGCATCTAACAATGTTTGTTAAAAATTAAAGTCCAAATGTTGCACTGGCGATGTTTATTCAGCTACATGTCTAAAAACTTGACATAAAATCTGCAAGTGAGTGGTTGGCGAGTGCTCTGGTGTGGTTTTCTCCTTCTTTCCTGTCAACATCTATTGTCCTGATCTCTCCTTCTTTTTTGTGTTTGCTACTCGCTTGTAACACCTCTAATCTTTGGGACTTAAATGACCTTATTGTGTCGCGAATACCATAAAACTCTTTTTTTGTGTGTGTGTGTGCATATCGCTCTCTAGTAACACCTAGTCTTCAGTACTTATGCATACCTGCCAACCCTACAGAAAAAATCGGTAGATCACTGGCCAGGCCCCGGGAATTACCCAGGACTTTGAGAAAGTTATCGAATATTTGAATACCAAATCCAATATGTTCATTTTTGCCGGTCGTGGTTGTGATATTCATTTGGCTTCCCCGAGAGTGTTTCTTCACGCAGACAGGCGGCTATGGTGGCAAGCGGAAGTGTATGTGTGTTACCGACGTTTGACCGGGGTAATCAAGATATACTTTCACTTTCGTTACGACCCAGAAATTTGCTGGTAGTAGTTTGATTACGGAACATTAATTGTAACAACATGCAGGCTGCGCATGGCAAACGCTGTGTCGCCTTGAAAATAAATCAATATTTGTCCTGAGCTGTCACTTTAGAATGAAAAAGAAAAGAAAGTTTTAGTTATACAAGCGTCTTGTGGGGCTCGCCATTGTGACCGGTCAATGAACCTGCTCGTTCCATCACATTGTGAGCACCAGCAATTGTAGGGGTCACCAAAGTTCATTCAAAGTCTGAGCGCTGTGAAGTAAAGGACTCCTGGATTGGGGGGGGGGGGGGGGGGGGGGGGGGAGGTGTGTAGAGGATTCAAAATGAGTAAACAATACATTTTAGTAGTGAATCATTATTAATAGGTATGACTAGATGGAAAATCCTGATGACTTTTTATTTTGTTATTTGATGTGCCTGGGTGTTTTTTTTCTCTCAATATGAGATTTTCGTGTCTGTGTTAACATTACATCTCTGGAAGGCTGTGCTGTGATGAAAGGTGAACAGGTCCATGCCGTGCTTTAGGCAACTTTCTCTTTAAAAAAAAAAAAAATTAAATGTAGAACTCCAAAGAGCCCCCCCCCCCCCCTCCATTTGATCAGCGTTGTGTTGTGCACCCAGGTATTATTGTATTTCTGTCTCCAGGCCCTGTTCTTGCTACTGCAGTGTGATAACAATATCGAGGAAGCAGAAAGGCGAAGAAAGATGCAGGCGGTTCCCCCGACAGGTAAACATCATTTCAGTGCTTCTAGTCTTCTGTATTTTTACAGAAATCCTTACTTTTGGACTTTTCCGTTCTTGCTCCCCTATCATTATCAACTTCATCCGTAAAAAAGTGGCCTAGGGCTAGAGCTACCGAAATTTTGTGACAAAGGCTCCGTACTCGCCTTCATATCGTCTTGTTACAGGTATTAAAAGCACTTTACACAAATTTTCCTCACTTAGGTTGGAATGGGTACCCGGCCATAGACAGCGAAAGATCTTGTCAGTATGTTGGTGCTTTTGCGCCTATATATGGCTGCTTGCATTGTATGCCTCCCAGGAAGTTGAGGTTGTTTCAGAATGCTCTCAGGTCTGCTGGGGTAATAGGTAGTATAGATAGTGAAGCACATTGAGCTTGCTATTGAGCGGGGATTTGTGCTATACTTATATCTATTATTATTGTTATTAACTCTCTCGGCAATCTTGTAGAAACCTGCCAGGTTGCGCATTTCTTGCAATCGGCCGTTATCCCGCTATTCATTCTTTGTTGGTTGGTTAGCAAGACATTTTTATCTGTGAATTGATCAAAATCTGGCTGGTGAACTTTTTTGTGTCGATTCCCTACATTCACTCATTCTTTCTATCTTCGGATTTTTGCTGCAGATTGGAAAATCTGCAAGTTGATCAAGTAAATTGACTTGCGATTTTAGATGTCTAGATCTAGATATTGACCTTAAATTGCAGTTGTGAGCGCCGTAAAACCCCGTACTAAACTTAACTAAAGATCTAGATATTGTCAGTGCGATGATTCTAAGAGAGCGTGATAAGGGCGTTGGGGAAAGAAATTTATGATAAAATTACTAAAAATCAAGAATAATTCGAAGTGGTGTTCCTTGGTTGTGCCATTCAGCATTCAGACGTGAAAATTGAGGAAAGTTTGAGTATGCGCTGGGTAATTCTACTCTGTCGTCAAGGTACAAGTCTTTTCATTAATCCCTGGTCTGCCTTCTGTCACTGGTGCGATGACAAATAAATTCTGAATTATAAATTATCGTTACTTAGCAATGGCAAGAGGAACCTGCTTTTAAACTTTGGAAATGTTTGTAGGTTGAGAAATCAAACCAGATACAATCTTGTTGAAAAAAAACAGGTGTTATGGGTTGTTGGCAATCTCTCCAAACAGGCACCCAAATGCCGTTTTTAACCCTCTAAAAGCACTAAATTTCAGGCCATCGGCAGAATTTTCTTTACATTTCGGCTTCAGCTGTTGGAATCACTGAATTTATACATCTGTTCTATTTTTAGCAACAATCTGTACTGCATGGAAAAGAAATAGCAGTAGTACCTCAATAAGTGGACTGCCATCGGCCTTTGTGAGAAAATTGTGGTTGATAGTAATGACTGCCATATATGCGATTTGTTTAGAAGATGCTGTTTTTACCTGTTTATGAATCTGTAGATGGGAATTGTTATTGTAAGATGAGTCATTTTAGATTTCTTCAGATGGGAGTGTGGATTTTGGAATCAAAAGTTTAGGTGGATGTTTCCAGAACTGGTTATTTTTCTGCTATTGTGCCTTTCTGTTTCGCAAAAGTATAAGCTGTTACTTACTGACATCATTTTCTGTGTTCCCATTAGATGTGATGAGCTTGTGGTCGGAAGATGAGTGTCGCAATTTTGAAGACGGACTCCGGCTCTATGGCAAAAGTTTTCATGAAATTCACCACAATAAGGTAACAATGTTTTCCATAGGAAGACTACAGGGGAAAAACGACTGTAGTCACAAACTGAAAATCATGAGGGTATTGGTTTTGAACGATTATTGACTCATAACTGTATTTCTGTTCAACTGTTGGTTGATTATTGTTGTTAGATTTCCCATTCAACAACACTTAACAATATACCACTAGTCAAAACAAATATGAAGGTATGAGTCCACAGGCTTTTAAAATTGGCACCCTCATAATTTCCAGTTTGTGACTACCGTTGTTTTTCCCCTGTGCTCTTCATATGTGCATGTTGGTTTTTTGTTGTTTTTTAAAAATGTTTCGCTGTGGAAAATGCTTTTTTTTTTAAAGGTATCTGCACAAACACTTTGGAATAATTTGGTCTGGAAACGTTTGAATCAAAATCAGTATTAAATAGCATCGTCCACTCTGAGATTCCGATGACAAACAATCGTTCAAGTTGTGGGGTTCCCTGATATTTTAGTTGATGCAAGCTTAGAATGTTGTGAGTAGCGTATTTGGTGAGGAAAGTGGTAAGGGACAGTTACTTAAATACATTTTACTGAAACGTGGCACTGCTACCTGACATTACTGTATTTGTGGTTCAATAGGAGAAAGTTCTTCTTTAGGATATTTATGTACAGAAAGCACTTATTTTCGTGTATTTTACCCCCAGAGCAGTGACTACTGACTGAAGTGTCTTTAGGTCTTTCCCAATGGGAAACATTAACATGTTCGTATGCACAGTAGAATTGTAAACGGGCTGATTCATCAATTTCATGCTCATAACTGTGCCTGAGTAAAACCTCTACTAAGACTATAAAAAAGAACCCTTCGTGTATTGTTACTCATTTGTCAGTGGTTTTTGCTACTTGTTAGTCATCTGTTTCTATTTCTGAAACGTTGAGCTCCATTCTGTCACCAGCACGCTGTCTTTCTCTGCCTCCACTGAATTCTGTGAACTCCTGTAGCCCTCCTAGACTACTGACCGTAGTGATTTTCGATGCAACAACATCTTTCTTTCCTGTTCAGGTGCGGACACGCTCTGTCTTTGAGTTGGTGCATTTTTACTACTTATGGAAGAAAACAGAACGGCATGATGTCTTTGCCGCAAAGACGAGAGCGGAGAAGAGGAAGTATTCACTTAACCCTGGTGTCACGTGAGTTGTTGGGGCTTCCTCCTCCTCTTTGTGCCATCTCATTTAAAAAAATAATTTTGGATAAAAAAGTTCTTTAAAAAATCTCTTTTGGTTCTCTTTTCATGGTAGATATTTCAGACTTGTTTTGTTGCAGTTCTAGAGTGGTTCCGTTATTTTTTGGTTTTCATCGTTTGGGTTTTTGGCTTTCTTATTGGATGAAAGAATCATTTTTATTGTTATTTTAGTCGTTATTTCTTCATGCTCTTTGTTTTTTACAGGGTGGCCAGGGAAGTCGGAAAATTTTGTTTAGGTCTGATAAGTCGAATTATTTTAGGTAAAATTTTGTTTTGAAGGAAAAACTCGGCAATATAGTCTTTAGAGTGTAGAAGATTGACAGCACTTGACATACTGACACCCAGGCCAGAGACAGGCTTTTTTTCTTGTGATATTTGTAACTATATGCAGGGTTCCCATGGCCTCCTTTAATTGAAGGAGTCCCTGAAAACTGCTTGAATTTGCTTTCAAGGAAAATTCTCCTTGAAAACTCCTTGAATCTTCATTCTTGGAAAAATCTCCTTGAAAACTCCTTGAATTTTGCCAGATCGGATAGGAACACAGGGTGACTGCCAGGCCCCGGGAATCGCGGGGGCCCCTGAAATTACCCAAGAATTTGAAAAAAATCGCCGAGACCCAGAATGCAACGGAAATTTGAAGGAATCTGTAAATTGCCGCGTGAAAGACCCGGGGAAATACAAATGTTCTCGAATATTTGAAAACCAAATCCGATAATGTCCTTGAGTTAATTTTTCCTGGTCATGATTGTGATATAATATTCATTCGGCCTTTCCCGGCCTGAGAGTACGTTACCCGCGCACAGGCTGTTATGGCGGCAACAAGTGGAAGTGTATGTGTGATACCGAAGCTCGATCGGGAAAATCAAGATCTACTTTCGCTTTCGTTACAACCAAGAAATTTGCCAGTAGGGCCTATAGTAGTCTGACTGATAGCACCACATTTGTAACATGCAGGTTCTGCATTACAAACGCTGTGAAGGCAACACAGGATGACAAAAAACTGAACTTGGAAGCAGATTTTACTTTACAGAATTTTGGTTACATACTACTATCCAGAGCTCTCTGCAAAGCGAAAGCCGCATTGGTGCAGGCCTTATGTGGAATCGGGATTGTAACTAAAGGGTTCCCGTTTCATTGATTGTTTATATTCTATATTTTAGCTTTCTGTTCAAGATTTGCAGATTTTCAGTGTCACTGCATCTTGCCCTCCCACAGTTCTTACACCTCTCACATTGAATAGGTCTACTTGAGCCATTCATGTTATTGCTGTACTTAGCACGGCGTCACTTTTCGCCTGATTCTGTTACATTTAGTTAGCGTGACTCAGCAGCCCGCTGGAGCTCCCCGACTTGGGGTCTCAGGGTTAATGAGCCCTGAAGCGACTTTGCTGGTGTCGGTTAGGAAGTTCACATATTTGGCTATGTTTAAAACAATATAACTTCTTCCCCATCCCACGCAGCAAACCATTACGCGGATGTACTAAAAGCTAAATGTCTTGAGATTTATTTTGCATTAGAATGCTTAATTTCGTTGCTTTAGTTTTTGTTCTAGACAAGTGTTTGTAGAGTACCCAATTTGTCCTATTTTAGTTACAAACTTATGAATAAATGATTGTTAATTTAAAGGCTCAACAGACCTCTCCAAAATCTGTGTTAAACCGACTACGAATATCATGTCTTTTACCTTGAGAAATCTTAAATCTGCGTGAGTAGTAATAGTCAAGTTATAAGAGAAGAAAGATGCACATCTGCATTTTTAACTAAAGATGATCAGCGTTAGCTCTTATTTTACTATTAAACGAGAGACAGTTGCTCTGCATTTGTTCAGGAATCATGCTATGTCTGTGGCAGCCTGCATACAACTAAAAAGATATAGTATAAGCGATTAAAACCCCCCCACAAAAACGTGTAAATACATGGGTAGAGATAAACTTCTTGAATGGAATAAAAATAATGACAGCTAACACATTCATTCTTAGTTTTTGTGTTGGAAATATGCGCGGACACAATTATGAATGTAAAGAAATCAATCACATTGTCAGTTATTGCAAATGGTCATAGAAACGAAAAATAAAGCTGGAAAAGTCTGGTGCTGAATCAGTGTCCCTGGGAAGCTAGAAATTATTCTTATATCCCAATTACGAGAAGTCATCCCTATTATTCAGTCAACTTACAAGACCTGGACTTAACGTTTTAAGAAAAGTAAAATATTTCGGGAATGTAACAGATACTGTTCGTGTATTACATTGAAGATGTATTCTGGCACTAAAATAGATTTGTACTTTTCATAGAGAAACTTCATGGTAACTTTTATAAACTTTCGAGAAAATATGCGAATATTCACGATTATATTTTATTAGACACATAAAGTTCTATTTGGAGGAATTACTTCATAGCGAATTGTGTGCCCGATGGATAAAGTTGCAAAATTACAGCTTTCTATTATATGCGCAGATACCATCTTTTCAGAGTATCTGCACCAATGCTATGTCGTTCATGTTACAAAAGTTCGACAGATTTTGACGAGGCCTATTTTTATATTGATTTTTTTTTCATTCCCGCTAGTCAAAAAAAAAATACAGTTTAGCATTGCCGACTCCAGCGCGTCTGACGAAATAACCAGACAAGTTACAAAGTCCGTTCTTTTTTGAGTCTCAAGAGCAGAAATGCATGCTTTGGGTGCACTAAATGAGAATTACCACAAATACAAGGATACACCTAAAATTGTACGTTAAAAAGTACCAAAATTTAAGTCGGCCCAGACAGAGCGGCGACAAGGAGCTGACCCCCGTGACCCCGACGTGATAAGATGCCCGGCGGGGAACACCCCGCGGCAACTAAAACTCCACCGGTGCGCTGTGTTTGAGTTACAGCAATAATTTTTGTCTTTCACGTTTAATATATAAACTCTGACATCCTAAACTGGTACTTGACAGTGGATATTCTGGTTCTAGGCCTTTTGTCGGGCGCAAAGCAAGATTCAGTTTTATATAGTTAATATAGGCGAATATAATGAAGGAAAATATAAATAACAGACTGAAATACCTAAGTCACAGTATCCCAGTGCCACACTTACATCAGGTTATTGACTGGATATAATGTACCTACATGCGTGTGTGTGTGTGTGTATTATATATAATATATAAATGGAGCATGCACTGTCATTGTTATGTAACATGTCCCTTGAGAACGGATGAGCCCCCACCCCTGCCTGAAAAATTGAGAAGCCGGGTTGGCAGTCACCCTGGGAACAGTTTTTATAGGAAAATTGAAACTATGATATGGTTCCTTTCGGACAAGTGTAGGCCTTCGAAAATAGACTTTCGTCATGAATTTTTTGACCAAATCTCCTTGAATTTTAAAAATTTCTCCTTGAAACCTTGAATTTGATGGGAAGTTCATGGCAGGAACCCTGTGTATGTGTAGACTAACTAGATTAAGAGAGATCTAGACTAGATCCAGTATCATGGGAAAGTGCTACATCATCAATACCTAGTGGTTGTCCAACCCTCAATATTCAGAATGATTGATGGAATACCCTGACCCATAATGGCAAAAGCAAGTTTATATGTAAGTTTTGTTCCCATGGGTATGTCATCGGTCATTCAGGTGTAAAGGCTTTGAACACTTACAAGGTGTCTCAAACCGTTCATAAAATCCAAAACCAGCCAGTGTGGTGCCAAATCTATTTTTAGCTTTACCAAGAACCGAACAAGTGTTACGAGTATGAGCGATACTGAAAGGAGGACCAACAGTATGTACTTAAATAGCAATCAACCAGAGAAGTTGTTGACCTAAGTCTTCTCTTTCATGAGACGTTTTCAGACTTTAAAATAGCTGAGTTTTCAGTGTAGGCGCACAAAACTTGGCTACCTTGGAACATTAATTGGGATTGCACTGGTGATCTAGTCGGCTATTCTAAGATGTGTACGAAATAGCCCGTTCTACGGGATTCTCTTTTACGAGAGCCTTCACATTGACAATGGCAAGAAACTTGACTTATAGTGGTAGGATTTTTTTTGGGTGTGGTAAGATTTTTAGGAGGAAGATTTCCCTGGCCAACCAGTTTTAGGAAGGTGTAAGGCAGGCGTTGCTGGTCCTTCAGTATCAGTGTGCTCATTGTAATTTATTGATGCCTCTGTTGTGTTGCAGGGATCACATGGATCGGTTTTTGGAGGAACAGGAAGTGGAGCTGAGCCAGTCGATGATCCCCCAGGTGGCCGACCTCAAGCCCGAGTCTGCCGAGGACGGCGAGTCCAAGCCGCTGAGCTCGGTGTTCAGCACGGGCAAAACGACCATCTACTCGCCCAGCAAACCTTTTGACAGGAATCCCATGCGAGGGGACCCCGCGGCAGCCCAGAAGCGACTTCACCCCCACCACCACCACGAGGTCAACGGCAGCAGCTCCATCATGGAGCACAGTCTGGAACATTCAACTCCCAAAAAACAGAAACTAGACTCGTTCCCCTCGTCGGGGGACCAGCACACGCCCAAGAAACCCAAAATGTTGGACACGATCCCTGAGTGTTCTCTGATGAAACCCCCTCTAGACAGCTTGAGTGGCCAGTCCCCGCTCCCCGCCTCAGCATTACCGGCGCCCTCACTGTGCAACCAGAGCCTCCCGCAGCCAGAGAGCGCCTCAGAGCAAGGGAACGGGCCCAAGCATATAGAGAAAACTACGAACCCTGCTCCGGTGGCAGCTGACACAGGTTTGACCTCCTCAATGCCGCCAACCTCTTCTGACATTCCCACTGCGGATGGCGTGAACGGTTCTGGGCACTCAGAAAACCCTGCAGTGTCGGCTCTGCCTACGAATTCTCCTTGCAAAGCGTCGTCGTCAAGTTCCAGTGCCGTGAAGTCTGCGAAATCGGTGGTGGGCTCGGGTGACATTCTCGGCATTGACATAGCGAACTGCATGAGAAAACCAGTGGCAGCGGAATCGGCAGTCATTCAGTGATGTTAGTGTGTGTGTGTACGAAACAGTTTTGGACGGTTTGACTGCCCCACACTCCTTCCACCGCCTCTTTCTCTTCCATGATGTTCCAGCGGCCCTCCCTCCGATGTGTCACGAGGACCCACAGGCAATGGTCCCACCTCCCCAGCCCCCTGTCTCTCTCTCTGTCTCCGTGTGCGACTACGTACCTGTGTCAGAAGAAGTGGGTGCTGGTGTGTTGTTGTCACCGAGGAATGAGTTGTGGTGTGATGGACGCTCTCGTCTCTGCGTGCAGCGCTGACTGCTGGGTACGTATGGTCGATTGGGAAACCTGTCATCCAGTGGTGCTACTCCATGTTTTATTTTCAAAACGGGTATATATTTGTGTGAACGGTACTAACGTCACTAGTAGCATCGTCAAAGGCTAATGCTTACAGATTTTGTGTACAGTTTATTGGTAACAAAGTGCAAGTGTGTGGGTTTTGTATTTTTCTCCTTCATTTTGCTCAGTGTATAATTCAGTTTTGCAATATTGAACATAATTCTCGTAGGAAGTGATGCCTGTTTATTGAGTGCCAGTGATGATGATCGTCTGTTGAAATCGGTAGTTGGGATTTGCGGAAGGTCTTTATTCCTTCTTCTCTTTTTCCTCTTTTTTTTCTCTTTCTGTCTCCTTGACTGTAGTCTGGTGTTGTGGTGAGGGTCCTCACATGCAGATGTTTGTTCTAGTCTTGTGTGGATTCCTTTAGGAAACTGAGTTTGTCTGTCTGCTGGGATGTTGAAGCCCTCTCAGCCTGGGTGGGTCGTGACAGGCAGGGTCACAGAGCAGCCTGCATCCCATCCCATCCCATCTCATCATCATCATCCGGTGCCTTGCCGACTGGCGGGGCCGATCATGGACCTCTGTCCCAGCTGACTGATCTAAATTGTGTTGATAGAGGCAGAGACCCTCCGCGACAACTACTGCTACTCTGTGTCTCTGTCCTCAGCAGCAGTAGGGGAATCTTTTCTTCTTGCGATGGGAGGGGCGGGGGGGTTATTTTCTAAGGATTACCTTTTGTTTTTATATATTTCTATATATTGCGTGGGTCTGCGGAAATTTAGGAATGTGCTCCTTTTTAGCCCTTTTCTGTTATTATCATGAATGTGCACATTTGTTTTGTTTAGTTTTTTGTTGCTTTATCTTGTCTGTCTATTGTATCGTTTGACTTTTCTTGTGATTTTTGTCTCCTTGAGGCTGTCGTGATGGTTGTAGAGTGGGGGTGGGGAACTGTCCCTGTTGTGACCAGTGTCTGTGTGGTACTCTCGGCATGCCTTGGGATGCGGTTTGTTGTTCCAATATTGCACTGGAATGACAATGATGTGGGGGTGATTAGAAGGCGTTTCCCTGTTTCTGTCTCTGTGTCTTACTTTTTCCCAGCACTATTACCATTATTGTGTCTATGTCCTCTTTACTCAAACAAATGCACATTAATATAGTGTGAGGATGGATTGAATATTCCTCTTGAGTGTCTAGCACTGTCCTGTGCTAAACGAAAAGGAAACTGGATGAGGATTTCTCCCTGGCCTTATTTTCAATGTAATTTTTTGCCGGTCGAAACTTTTTTTGTTTACTAATTCTTTATGTTCCAAAATGAATGGACATGTTATTTAATGTTGTAACGGTGAAGAACTGAACCATTGCAGCAAAAAGTCATGCTTAATTTATATTTCTTGGAACAATTACTTTCGGCCAAAAGTAAATGTGAAATTGTAATAGTCCAACTTTGTAGTTTGGGTTGTGATGGAGGGATCTCCAAATTTTAAAGTAGTTTTCACTTTTGGTTAGTAAACACGACCTAAACTGTTTATGCTAAGTTAGCCTATGAATTATGCCGTAAGTTGTAGTTTGATGGCTTATGGGATGTTGGGAGTAGTTCCCAACTCTCCACTTTTAGTCACTCTAGATCAGAGGTTACTTCCAGAATGGACTGTATAATTGCTTTAGGCATGCTACTTTACCTACTATGAGTATTTGTCCAAGGCACTTAGATTGTTACAGAATTACACAGAGGATGTTAGTTGTTTTGTTTTTTCCCACCGTCTGGCAAATGTCTCCTTTGTTTTGGCCTGTCCCCGCTGTTTTATGCAAGAAAAATTCTGAAATTAAGCAAAATGAGCCCAAAAATGTGAAATTGTGCGATTCTAACTAAGAATGATAAAAGAAAATCAGAAATTATGCAAAAATGATCACAAATTTTGCTAAATTATGTGGGGTGCATAAAACCACGGGGACAGTTTAGCTTTGTGACTTGTCCTTGCAAAATGGGATTGTTGTACAACTTGGCTTTCAGTTCCTCAAAGCCCCATTTTGTTTGTTTTTTTTTCCCCAAATTTATGTAAATATTGTAAGACAGACAGAAGTCAGCATACTCAAAATGTTGGTAACTGAAAAGGCAAATATTTTTACTTGATTGTATTTCTTTGTGCATTGATGTGGGTAACATTTTTGTTTGATTGTCATGTAAAAATTTTTGTTGATTGTTTCGTAGTTGAACATAATTGTTCTTTTGTGTAGCTTGTTTTTGTTTCCAGGGGTGGATGTACTAAAGGAAATTTGGTGTACAGTTTTGTTTGTAACATTTTCTTCACTTTTGTTTCAATACTATCGCTAGCCGAAGGTTGATGGGCCACTGTAGATATGTGGAAACTTGCCTGGGAACTGTTGCTTAAGCTGATATGACATTTAATGAAACCTCTTGCCTTGTGTGTGAACAGTTGTGTGACTTGTGATGTCTGTGTGCAAATGGAATGATGAAGCTACCTCTGCACTGTACTGTAAGCCCGTGTGAGTGCTTGTTGAAATGTGGCAGCAGAGAGCAGTTGTGTTGTTGTCGTTACCTCGTGCAACAGCCGGCCATGTGTGTCTTCGCTAACATGACTTTGGAGAGTCACTATCAGGTGGGTGGTTGGCAGATGCTCTGGTGGGAATTTGTTGCTTCTTTCCTGTGAGACATCTATTCTCCTGATCTCTCCTTCTTTTTCGTGTTTGTTATTCGCTTGTAACACCTCTAATCTTTGGCACTTATATGACCTTATTGTGTTGCAAGTGCGGTAAAGCTCTTACTAAAAAAATTTTTTTAAACCCATTAACAATGATAATGATGATGAGTTTTGCTGACAGGATCCCTTTTGTACTTTCCTCCCTGTCCCACCCTCTGTACTTGATCATTTTCTGTCCCATCTTGTGTGCCTTGTAGGTTTGATTGGCTTTGGAAAACTCTCCAACATTATAGACCCTCATTGAATAAAGTTTGTCTGAAGTCTGCTACAACAACCCTGTTGCCTCCCTTTGCTAGCCCGTGTCTGATGATGATGGTGAAATATCAACATGGCTCTCAGGCAGACATCATGGCTTCCAGTCTGTTTTGGGGTCCGACCCAACTTCTGCTGCCCATTGATTCACCTGAAACTGGCTACAGTATGCTAGTTTGTGTTTCTTCGCGGGTGCTCTGCTGTGGTTTGCTCCTTCTTCCCTATCAAACAACTATCGTCTTTATCTCCCCTCCTTCTTTTTTGTGTTTGTTACTCTCTTGTAACACCTCTAATCTTCGGTACGTTTATGACCATATTGTGTTACAAGTACCGTAAGACTCTTACGAAAGCTAAACTAAGTTTTTTTAAAGTTAAGTTCCTTCGCCATGTTTACCAAGGAAGAAGACACGGCACTACGTTTTCTTCCTTCTTTTTCAGTCTATCATTGGCTGTCTTTCTCTTTTGTTGTGTGGAATTGTATAGCGGCATAAGACAAGCAAGTTGTGGGGAGTTCTTGATGTCGTAATGTCATCTGTGAGGTGTGCCTGATGTCGTCTGTGCTGGCAGATTGTGGTCTGGTCTTCCTGTCTTGGTTGGGGGGGGGGGGGTTGTTGTGTCATCAGCTGACCCATGCGGGCAGGAAGATCTCAGTTGTGTCCTCGTGGATTTTCCTATGTTGTGCATCGACTTTTTCTTGTGTTACACAGTTCTGATGCTGGCATAGCACACGTAGAAAGTCGTTCTGTTTTGGGGTACCACTCTGATGCCAGCATAGCACAAGACAGTATTGGGGTACAAGTCTGATGCTGGCTTGCACAAGGCTGGCTGTAAATGTGATGCTGTCCTGTTGTACGTTGTTAGGAATGTGAAGTGCCATTGACTGATTGACTGACTGGTCAGGGAGTGCCTGTGAAGACTGATGGAATATTTTTACCTGTAAAGAAATGTCTCTTCCACGGCTCTCACTGCAGACACCAGGTGTTGTGTGCCCATTGTTCCCTATGCATGAATGATTCAAACTGATAACATTCACTGGAACCTGTTCATGTCATTCAAGCAGTAAATTATTTTGTAGATAAAATGTTTGGTAATAAACTCCCCGAACATGTAGTCCTGTGTTCTTTTCATCTTGTACTGTGTATTAAAGTCTGTTACAGTCAAGCATGCGTGTAAAGTAGCTACATCAGTTGGATGCGGAAATCTTTTCATCATGTGCGAATCTCGTCATGAACGAAGTTCAGGCTATACATATACAGCCAAACCTGTGTAAGATGGCCACCCATTGTCAAGGAGAAAAGTGGCCGTATAAGACAGGTGGCCATCTTAGGCAGGACTGATCAAGGTAAAGAAAACAAAAGATTTCCATCTGAGGCCCCAATCGAAAGTAGCCCCATTATGTTGTCTTTGTTGGTGTTGTTGTTGTTGGTTTGTATTTGGTTTGTAATTTTTATTTTGTCGCTGATTTTGCACAAGGGTGACAATAAAACGAAATGTATCAGACAAGGAAGACTGAGTGCCATGTTAAAACACCACATGGGTCGCCACCACTCGGAGAACGAGCGACGCTTCTGTACCAAGTTCATGTTGACGTCCATTGTTGCTTTGTTACAGACTGGGTAAACAGTGACCACTCATCTCACTTACGATTTGTGTACGAGTTCTGGGCGGGGCTTATGGGTTATGAGGGATCACACGCTTACCTCACCAGCAGCTGAAAATTGGTAGCTATTGGTCAACAGTGGGAGGGGCCTACGCAACATGATCGGTTGGAGGGACTACCTCACAACAACGACAGGTGATTGAATTATGATGGCTCGCCCACAACGCCAGGGGCCAATGCACAATTTATGACAAAACGTAAAAGAGTCACTAAGGTGACCGTCTTAGACAGGTATTATTGCTTAGTATGATAGGGGTTGTGTGTTAAATTATTGTGGCCGCGTTGGACAGGTGCCCGTTTTACACAGTTAAATTATATAGAAAAAACGCAAGGGGGGAAATGGAAAGTGGCCGTCTTATAGAGGTGGCCGTCAGGGCAGGTTCGACTGTATGTGTGTGTACCTTAAGAAAGGTACCAAAAGTCGCTACTGACCATTTTGAGCTACAGGCTGATAATGACAAAAAATCACTTTTTTAAAAACCAAAATGCGTTTCCTTATAAAAAAAGATAGTTACCCTTTTTTTAACGGGTTAATTAAAAGGGTTCTCATTGACTTCACATCTAAATATTTTATTTTGAATTATTTTGAGGGTAGGGTATGTTTTAAAAAGATAATAAAAACTGCTTTTATTTTTAAAAGGTATTAAAATGTATTCTTGGGGCATGTTTTCTCTTCCCTGCTATGTTTTACCTTTGAATTCTTATCATGATATTGATGTCAACTGAATGCCGAATTGGAAATGAAATTTCCATGAGTAAATACATTAGGAACAATTCAATCATTGGGTCTTTTTAAATAGTTTTTACACGTTCTAAGCTGAAAAGCTAATTTTCTCAAAATTAGATCTTTGTACACTACCTCGCGAAATCTGCAATATCTCAAAAACTACTTGAGATATCTGAAAAATGACTGTTCAGCTTTGAATGTCCTATTACATAATTAGGTACAACCCTTAACTCAAAATGGTCAAATTGGATTTTTTGATTAAGGGTTGCACCTTATTAAAGTAGAATAATCTATGCTGAACCAGAAAACAGTGGTTTTTCGATTTTTGCGAGATCTCAAGTAGTTTTTGAGATATTGCACATTTTGTGAGGTTGGGTTTTGAGAAAATTAGCTTTTAAGCTTAGAACACTTACAAACTTGAAAAAAAAAATTGATTTTTTCATGGAAAATTCCTTTCCAATTTGGCATTTGGTTGACATCAGTATATAGCCTATATCATGATTAGAATTTAATGGTAAAACATAGCAGGGAAGAGAAAACATGCCTCAAGAATAGATTTGAACACCTTCTAAAAGTAAAAGCAGTTTTCGTTATACCTAAAAAAAAAAAAAAGTAGGCCTACCCTAGTGACTAGTATCAAAATAAAATATTTTAATTTTAGTCTAATCAATGAAAACCATTTTAACACATTGTTAAAAAATGGTGGCCATCATTTTACAGAAACACATTTTGGTCCAAAAACTGATTTTTTGTCATCAGCCTGTAGCTCAAAATTTTCTGTGGTGACTTTTAGTACTTTTCTTTAGGCACACACAGGTATTTAAGAATATATGTGAGGCGTGCTGACAAATGAGTTACTTCTCTCGCATTCCACAAATTGAGATATTAGCCAAAAATCGACACTAGGGTCAAATTTGTAAGATTTTTCTATCGATGCCATATATTCAAGTATAACATGCCTTTTATTATTTCATACTTATAAATTGTAAAAACTCCACCTATAGGCCTAATGTAATGTTTCCTTAAAAAAGGCTTGAATCTGAGAAGTAACTCATTTTGTCAGCACGCTTCACAAATATTTGGGACCTGAAAATCTATTTGCTGTGTGCAGGTTCTCTCTCTACTTGCATGCAAGACTAACTAATCCCCAAGGAAAGAGAACAACTCACTTTTACAAAGAAAAGTCAAAAAGCTGATTTTGTTATGAAGTCTTTATTATGGCAATTATATTCCTCAGATTCCCCCAGTTTGCTATCACAGCATCTCTGCAACAAAAATGTACAAGATACCGGTACATGATATCTGGATGTTCCCCCAATGAATAGATAGATCATCCATTACTTCAACGTCTGGATGAGACAACACAAATCATACCGACAATTTTGAATAACCACATATATGTGATGAAGTTGATGCAGAAGAATAATGAAAAAAATGACAAAATGTTAAAAAATCTATTAAACTGTCCATAGGAATGATTGAACATATAGTTGAGGACACTTTCAACTGTTCGGTTGCTTTAATACT